GGGGGGCGGGACCGGGGGTGGGGTTACAAAGGGGCAAAGGAACAGGGCGTGGCAAGGGGGCGGGGCGTACAGGGTGGGGTTACGGGGAAGGGGCGGGGCCATATAGAATCGATGCGCGAGGGGAACGAGGAGCACGTCCCAGGAAGACGGCGGGGCTAAGGGGAAGGGCGGGGCCATGTGGCAGCGGGGCGGAGCCGAGGAGGGGCAGAGTTATGGGGAGAACGCGGCTTGGGGCGGGGGCAATAAAGGGGCGCGGCCAAGAGAAGGGGGTGGGGCCATGGGGCACTCACCACCACCGGGTTCCGCAGCAGGAGAGGGGTGGGGTCCTGAACCCCCGAGGAATACGGGGCAGGCTCACAGCCCTGTGGGAGAATGCGGGGCACAGTGGGGCCAGCAGTCTGTGGGGCAGAGCCCCCATAGCAGGTCTCATCTCTACAGAGGGACGCATTTCTATAGCAGAACTGTAGACCCTATAGCAAAACCCCAGCCCTGTAGGGAACCCCCACACCCGCAGGAAACCCCCAGCCCCACTGGGGACCCCCACACCTGGAGCAAATACCCAGCCCCATAGCGGACCCCCCCATACAGTCAGCCCCATATCGTCAGCAGCTTCCAGTCCCAAAGGGAGCTCCCAGGCCCGCAGCAGGACTCAACCCCATTAGGGAACCCCCAGCCCCATAGTGAGCCCTATGAATGTCCCAATAGCAGGCCCCGATCTCCACAGTGGGGCCCAGCCCCATAAGGAACCTCTAGACCCATGGCTGACCCCCAGCCCCAAAGGGAACCCCCCAAACCCATAGGGGAACCCCTGACACATAGAGAAATCCAGCCCTACAGCAGGACCCATACCCATAGGGGAAATCAGACCCTATAGCAAAACCCCATCCCTGTAAGTGTCACCACCCCCCAACAATCCACAGCACAGCCCTAGCCTCATAGGAGAACTCCAGACCCATAGCAGAATCCAAACCCGTAGCAGAACCTAGCCCCACAGTGGGACTCAACCCCATAGAAGATCCCCAAACCTACAGCGAGCCCCCATCCCCATAAGCATCTCCAGCCCCACAGAAGAACCCCATCCCCATAGGGCATCCCCAGACCCATAGAGGTATGCAGACCCACGGTGGAATCTGGCCCCATCGTGGGACCCAGACCCATACAGAACTCCCAGCCCCACAGCAGATCCCCATGCACCTCCAGACCCATAGCAAGACCCGGACCAATAACAGGAGCTGGCCCTGTAGCAGAACCCACCAACAGCAGGACCCAGGCCCCAGGCCAACCCCAAACCTGCCGACCCCAGGAAGGGGGTTGGTGTCTGAGACCACTGGGGAGCGGGGGGCAGAGCTGTAGCGAGGGGGATGCAGGGACAAATGGGGCCGAAAGGACGCGACGGGACAGTGGGGGCCGCGGGACGACGAGGCCCAAGGAATTCTACGGCGCCCCACGCGTCCTGCGGGGCTCTACAGGCTTCTACAGGACGGCGGGCTTTACGGGGCTACGGGGTTCCGCGGCGCGTCCCCAGGGCCCTCCGGGCTGCCCTTTGCTTCCGCGTCCCTGCCGACCCCGCCCCCACCCGCGGCCCCGCCCCCACCCGCGGCCCCGCCCCCACCCGCGGCCCCGCCC